ATACATATAAATTGACAAAAACATCAAAACAAAAGACCTGTAATTTCAAACCATGGTTGTAAAATCTATTTTGTATAATTGTTGTTAAATCACATTTCTCGTGTAATTTAGCAATTGATCAATACATTTGCTAATTTATACATTTTGGTCATAATTGCGTATTGATCTGGATTGGACCTATATTTTCCCTACGAACGGGAAGCCCAAAGACAACCCAAGTTAGGGACCATGGGGCAACTCCTCATCCAACTGTTGGAGGACGTGGTCCACGACCTCCTGACAGACATTCCAAACTGCCCTCCGGGAATCTCGGGTCCAGCCCTATTCTCGCGGAGCAGTTGACTAGGGGGGAGTCCATTTGCTGGACTCCATACACACGTAAACCCTGGTAGTTCCTGTTATTGGGCCTCCGCATGGCCCAAGAGTGGGAACCTTGGCCCAGCGCTGGGGACTATAAATACCCTTTCTCACAAGAGGGTCAAGTATTCAAATTCATCTCTAAACTCATACTTGCTTGCTCATTCCGCTTCTTACTTTGCCATCAGAGTGTCTTGCAGGTACCCCCCATCTCATTCAACTTCTGCCCGAGCCAGCTGTGACGGTCCATTTCTGATCCGGTAAGATCACATATCAATCTTATATGTGCATTGAACTGTTTGAGTTATTGCATATCAATTCCAATAAATAAGCACAATCTCTTTTACGCTAAAATTTGCTTCTGCCATGCAAAATCAGTTTTATTTTAGAAACTCTTATAAAAGTTTTTCAAACTACTTTTCAAAGGAATTTTTTAATTGGATGGGGTCTATTAAAACCCCCAGTCTCTAGACTGTTTATTGTATATTTTCTCACCAACAGGTCCATAGTTGTTTGGTAAATCAGGGTGCAAAGCTTGTTGCAGTGATTTTGATGCTTCTGATGTGGTGGAGAAGGGGCTGACTTGCAAGGTTAACACTCTAACACTCAAGTTATTATGAGAAAGAAAAGTTTCATATGAATGAGAAATGATTTGAATACTTGAAAAATGACGCATTTTTCTTATTAAATAGAATAAGTGATTAACAGCTGAAAGCGTGAATCACAATTAACTGTCAGATTGGTTTGGACAACTAGCAAAACTCTCATGTATGGATTTACCTATTTACATAGAAAAATGAAACTACTTAATCTATATTTTATTTCTGTTATTCTGCTATTGGCTTTCGCTCGTTGGATGTTATGAGCGGCCCAACATACAAACCACTCTAATAACTATTATTAATAAAATTATTTTAATAAATAAATTTATTTTATAAATGAAATTTATATAATTAATAATTTTAAAGATAATTCTAACTTATATCTTCAAGATTTAAGTTAAGAGTTAAAATTTAAAAATATATATTAATTTTATTATAACAAAATTTAAAATATATATTCTTTAATATAAATCTTTTTATGTGAATTTCTTAATGACCTTTACTTTTGTTATAAAAATATTTAAAATAAGACTGATATTTAAAATAAGATTAAGATAATAAAAAATAGAGAAATTAAAAATATGAATTGATAGTGTAAATTAGTTAATCAATAACTATTATATGTTTTGCTAAATTATGTTTTAATTTTTAAAATGTTAATATGATATAACGGAATGACAAAATCTTAGTGTAAAAGAATTTTACACCATGAATACAGTACCTTTAACCATTAAGATTGAAAAGAATTAAATGATAATATTTGATATACAAATTAAAATGATATGATATAAATTATAAATCCATCTATATCTTATCTTATACAGCGTTTTACACCGCCTTATTTTAGAGAAAAACGTGTAACAGTTTTATTTTAATTCCATCATAACCGTCAAATTTTCCTCTATCCGCGAAACCACAGCCGTTAATTCTGATCCGTCCTTCTATATAAACCTCCTCTACCCTCATTCAAAAATACCAAAAATAGTATTGTTAGGGATTTGATTATTGACATGCTTTTCGAATTGTAAACATTGAGAATTTTTTTGATATAATTCTTCATTGGATAATCAAGATATTCATTTATCTGTTTTGCAGCAATTTGTAATTCTTGATTTGGGATTATTGACGATGATGATGAAAATTTGGATAAAAATGGCTTTAGGGAAATCAAATTTGGGATATCTTTCGTCCGTTTGTTGCTCGGATTTGTTTGCTTCGTGATGGTTCGAATTCATAGTTTGCTTTTCTTGATCCGCTGCTAAAAGGAAGATTGTTAGGGATTTGATTATTGATATGCTTTTTGAATTGTAAACATTGAGAATTCTTCATTGCAGCAATTTGGGATTCTTGATTTGGGATTGTTGATGATGATGAAAATTTGGATAAAAATGGATAACAATTATTTTTTCCATTGATTTGCGTTGCCTCTTGATAAATCATAAGCTTTCTCAGATTGTGTTTTCTCAATGGATTTGCTTTGCGTCTTGATAGGTTTTCTTAGATTGCTGATCGTGTTTTTTTAATGGTTTTTATTTGATAATTAAGAGATATGTTTATCCATTTTGCAGTGAGGCTAGGATTATACACAAAGCATGCAGCAGTCTATGTTTTCGATTTGGTGATCTCTATTAAATTATTTTTGTTTTCGATTCGGTGATCTCTATTAAATTATTTTTGTTTTCGATTCTGAGAGCATATCTTTCTTGAAGTTGTTTTTTGATCTTTTACAAGCTGTTGTTGAAGTTTGTGTTTCTTCTAGTTTGTGTTTCCCCAGATAAATCCAATTTTTCATGATTCGCCATTTGCTAATTTTTATTTCTTTGCTTTGATTTCAAGACACTCCAAATGAACTGTGAACACATCTTTTCTGCAGCGCAGTTTTTCTGATTAATAACCTTCATTGCATTGGAGCCTCGACTTTTAATTTGGGTGTCTTCATAGATTCTTTCTGTAGACAAAATATTTCTTGGTTTGTTATTTACTCTTTTTAAGTTGCAGGAGAGAATATGATTTTTGATTTCTTGACTTTTTATCCTCTTTGGATTTTGCAGGAGAGGATGTGCTTTTGATTTCTTGATTCTAAAGCTATTTGTTTTTGTTCACACAAACATATTTAGAATTGTTTCAATGCTCTTACAGATTGTTGTGCTAGAATTGTTTCTACAACTTAAATTTAACAATTAAGAGATGAATTTATTGGTTTCTCTGTCAGCTGAGAAGTTTGGTGGATTTCTAGAATGTTTTGATACAACAAGAACATAAAATAACTCCAGATAGCTAAATAAAACTTTTCAAAGGGTCATTCTATACTATATTTTTTATTCCTGGCCTTCGATTGCAATGCATACAAATTGATTTCAGAACTTGTTTTTCTGCAGTGTGGTTGTCCAACTAATAACCTTTTTCATAGCATGGAGCTTAGCGTTTTGATTTCTGATTTGGTGATCTTTATTAAATTCTTTTTATTTTCAATATTTATTTATTGATTGGTGTTGCAGGATATACACACTTTCTTCTAGTTCTATTTTCCTCTTGTTTGATCTGCATTCATGGCTGTTGATTTTTTTATTTCTTGATTCTTAGGTTTGATTTGTTTTTTTTGTTAGTTCTGACCTTTGGAAGTTACTGTATACTATTATTTTGTTAGGGTTTTAAATGATTGCTCTTTTGCATCTTAACATCTTAGGGAGGTTGAGGAATTTTGGACAACTTGGTTTGGCATTCTATTGTTAGGGGTATTTGCCTTGTTATAAGAATTTTCTTTCCCAAATGAGTGTCACTCACAGAATCTGCAATTGGATCAGCAATTGGAGCACCAGAATCTGCAATTTGCTGCTGTTGTTGTTCTTTCATGTGGTGATCTCTCCTCTGATTGAATTCTTCACAATTAGTTTTCTTGATTCTTTCACGAGTTCTATGTGGGCGTCACAGGGATTTGATTTCTCTTAGTAAGGCACAAGATGTAATAAATTGGTATATGTTTTCTAGGATTTAATTTGGACAACTTGGTTAGGTATGTTTTGACAATCTGTTCCCTGGGTTCTGTTGTTATTTCTGGTTTATGATGTAGGCCGAATAGCTCCTTTGGTATTAGGTGGAAGCTCAAACTGTCATGTTTCATATTGGGTACAAGTACTTGCAAATTGGCTGGAAGTTTGTGTCCATTAACATCATGTCTTCAGAGGTTGTGTTGTATACTATACAAAAGCGTGTATTCTTTAATTCGGTCATTTATACTAAGAAAGACAATTTACATTTCAGAGTGTTTGATGCTTGGCAATTTTGAATTCTTTTGATTTTTCAGTGAGTGTTATAGGGGAGACGGAGACAACCTATGAAAGTGGTGGCCTGTGGCCTGTGAAAACAGAGGTTAACATACTATTCTTCCAACGTTGGGTTGTATTATATTTTTTTATGGTATGTTATGGGAGTGTTGGAGTTTTGGTATTTTGTAGCAGGAGCATGGTATTGAAGCATACGAGATTCTAGACTAGAGCCCAACTTTCTGCCTGAGCCAATGAATTCTTGACAACTTGGTTTAGCTCACTTTTTATTTTTCTGATTGTCTGCTACTTCCTTTGTTATAGTTACTACTAGATTCTTGTCATTCTTATTATATATAAGAATAAGAATTTTTTTCCCATATGGATATTTGTCAAAGTAGGGAAGCCCAAATTTTTTCCGTTTCACGTGGAGCATCAATCTGCAATTGGCTATGACATATTATCACAGTTAATATGTTTTCACTTGGTAATCTATACTTTGTGGGTGTCACAGGGAGTATATGGACTGTGAAAGCTGTGGTGAGATTATCTTATCAAGGATGTCTATTGAGCCTTAAGGATAAAACGAGCCTTAAGGATAAAACAGTCTATTGAGCCTTAAGGATAAAACGAGCCTTAAGGATAAAACAGGTCATTATTTACCACGTGATTTCTTCGGGTTCTATTTGTGGGTTTCAATTTTGGAATTCGTTCTTCTTTTATCAAGTTCCATATATCAGTTTTCACTTGGCTTACCAATATCTCTACTCTGAAACAGATGTATGTTGTTTTCTTGGCTAAAGTAGTTCCACTTCATTTGAACTTGTTTTTCATAAAGCATTGGACATTGGCCTGTCATATGCTTGTTGATTTCTGTATTGATATTCTTAATCAAAATAAGGTAAAAGATTACTCGCTTACCAGTCTGCTTATAGTTGATGGCAAGTCCAAAAATATTGATACTGTCGGCAGTTTTAAAAATCAAAGTGAGGTGTTTCTTTTCGAATATTAAAAAAGGTCCCGTGGGAGTTATTGGACATGTGAGTTTGTCACACTTGGTTTTGATTAGGCTTACTGTGTTGAAGCAATTAATTTCTTTGTAGTATAGCCTTGGTTCTTTTAATTTGGTGACATTGACAATTATTGTCCACTTACCTGTATATCTCTTCTCGCTACCTGCTTTATTTTTCATCAATTTGTAGGTGTGCTTGATTTGATGAGCTACTTCTAAAGAGAGTTATTCTTGTACTCTTTTATTGTTTGTTTCTCTTATTTGTGATATATAAGAATAGGAATTCCTTACCTCTCTGAGGATTTCATCAAGCACCATAATTCCCTGGGATATGTTGTTGTTTCTGATTTATGATGTAGTCCCAATAGCTCCTTTGGTATTAGGTGGAAGCTCAAACTGTCATGTTTCATATTGGGTATAAGTACTTGCAAGTTGGCTGGAAGTTTGTGTCCATTAACCATCATGTCTTCAGAGGTTGTGTTGTATTCTTTATTTTGGTCATTTCTACTACGAAAGACAATTTACATTTCAGTGTGTTTGATACTCGGCAATTTTGAATTCCTTTTTTTTTGCGAGTGTTATCTGGGAGACTGAGACAACATGTGAATGTGGTGTGTTGTGGCCTGCGGTAATGAGGTTAACATACCATTCTTCTAACGTTGTGGTTTGATACAGGTAGTCTCTTTCTCTTCTTTGATATTCAAGTTTTTATGTAGTCTCTTTTTTCCCCCTTGGTTACATCGGTCTTATAATTTGATCTGCTTCTTGCTGGTTTTGATCTTGGAGTTTGCCGTTCTTTTTTAATGTGGCCCTGTTTGGGTTTTAATAGACTGTTTTTCCAATTTTATTTTGATAATTTGTGTAGTTTTTCATATAATGCTTCATTTGATAATTGTTCAATGCTCTTAAATTAAAAGAATATTGACATGTATTTATACGTATTGCAGCAAGCTTATTTCTAGGTGTATGGAGCAGTTTGCAATTCTTGATTACAACGGATAAGAACGATAATTGTTATAGAAAGGAGTCATTCTTTATTATTTTTATTTTGAAGACTTTAATCACAAGACATATGATTTTAATTCTAAACATGTTTTTTCTGCAGCTTGGGTTTGTCAAAATAATTTTCAATATATACCGTGGAGCCTGAGTTTTGATTTGGTGATCTCTTTTAAAATCTCCTAGTTTTCAATAATTTTTTATTTCTTTTAGAAACATATTAGTTTTTATCTTTTATTTCATCTGGTCTCGCAGGAAAGGTAGTTTGTGAGCATATTATTCTTCATGTTTTGTATTCTCATTCCTTTAGGTTTTTTTGATTCTGAGGTTTGATTTAGTTCTGGCTTTTATCGCCATACATGTGAATTGAAATATGGCACTTTTTTTTTTGCAGTTTATTATGCGTAGTGTCAAGCTGCGAGTTTATTTTGGTACTTGGATTTTTTTCAATTGATTTCTTCTCTGCCGATTCTATTAGTCTAATCTTCTTATTTATTACTATGAATTCCAATTTGATGTTTCTGTTTTGATTAGTCTATTGATGTTTGAGAAATTTAGTCTTAAGGGTTCTTAACGTGAATACTACTTGTTCTACATTTGCGTTTTTGTATTGAGAAAGTGCAAGTTTACATAATTTTGGAGACATTCGGAAAAGTTTGTGTGCCGCTCTCTGTTATACTGATCTGCAACTTGGTTTGGAGAATTATGCTGTATTCTTTCTTTTCTTCTTGGTTCTTTTTCAACAACCTATCTACCATAGTTTGATTTTTCTGCATTTATCGGCTGTTGCTAACAGAGTAAGTTTGTCGTCCAACAAAAGTTTTCTTAATTCTGAATCAGACTCCCACCTTTTTAGTTGGTCTGTAGTGGAGAAATTGGAGATAAGTGTCTCTGCTGCTTTGTATAAATTATCTTTGGTGAAAGAATAAAGGTGAATGTATAAATAAATTGGAGGTAAGTGTCTCTGCTGCTTTTTCTAGGATCTATTTGGACAACTTGTTTAGGCACGTTTTGACGATCTGTTCCCTGGGGTCTGTTGTTATTTCTGATTTATGATGTAGGCTCAATAGCTCCTTTGGTATTAGGTGGAAGCTCAAACTGTCATGTTTCATATTGGGTATAAGTACTTGCAAATTGTCTGGAAGTTTGTGTCCATTAACCATCACGTCTTCAGAGGTTGTGTACTTTTTAATTTGGTCATTTCTACTAAGAATGACAATTTACATTTCAGTGTGTTTGATACTAAATTTTGAATTCCTTTGATTTTTTTGGAGTGTTATCTGGGAGACTGAGACAACATATGAAAGTGTTATGTTGTGGCCTGTGGAAACAGAGGTTAACATACTACTCTTCCAACGTTGGGATACAACCCTTCTTTTTTATGTATCTGTATTTTTTGGATGGTGTGTTCTGGGAATGTTGGATTTTTGGTATTTTTGTAGCAGGAGCATGGTATTGAAGCATACAAGATTCTAGACTAGAGTACATATTTCTGCCTGAGCCAATGAATTCTCGACAACTTGGTTTGGCTCACTTTTTTTTCTGATTGTTTGCCACTTCCATTGTTGTAATTATTTTACTACATTCTTGTCATTTGTGTTGTATATAATAAAAATCTTTTCTCCCAAATGGATATTTGTCAAAGTAGAGAAAGCCCAAATAAATTTTTTATGTTTCACATGGAGCATCAATCTGCAATTGGCTGTAACATATATTATCAGTTATTATGTTTTTATTTGGTGATCTATACTTTGTGGGTATCACAGGTATATGGACTGTGAAAGCTGTGGCGAGATTGTCAAGGACGTCCTTTGAGCCTTATGATAAAATGTGTCATTATTTATCACATGATTTCTTCGGGTTCTATTTGCAGGTTTCAGAAATATTGATCAACTGTAGGCAGTTTTAAAAAATGAAGTGAGGTGTTTCTTTTCGAATATTAAAAAAGGTCCTGTGGGAGTTATTGGACATGTGAGTTTGTGACACTTGGTTCTTGGTTTTGATCAGGCTTACTGTGTTGAAGCAATTAATTTCTTTGTAGCATCAAGTCTTGGTTTGATTAATATTATGACAATGACAATTACTGTTAACCTACCTGTATATCTCTTCTCGCTACTTTCCCTGTTTTTCATCAATGTGTGGCGGTGTTTGATTTGATGATCTACTTCTGATGAGAGTTATTCTTGTACTCTTTTACTATTTGTTTCTGTTATTTATGATATATAGGAATAGGATTTCATTGGGCACCAGTGTTCATTATTGGAATCATCATGTTCTGCAAACTGTAAAACATTTTCTAAGGAATTCGATTCGAGCAGTATAATGCAGTCATTGTTTCTAAGAATGTGCAATTTTAATTCTCTATGATTTTTATCATCGGTGTTATAGCGGCTGCTCAGATTTACCACAACCTTGTGACAGAACTGGTCATTTTTTTTCTATTTGTGTACTTTTTCAATTATCTTTTGATTGTCTGACCTGTCAGACAATCAATGAATATTTTCTTTGGCACATTTGGCAGTCTCCTTCCTTTATTCGGTAAGTTGTGGTTTATATTGAGCTCCAAAATCTGCAATTTGATAACGATTGTTCCAAATATAAATATTTTGTTGGTTGTTTCATATATTTATTCTCATTATTTCTAGATTTTAATCTGAAGTTCTCTATTTGTATATAAATAATGTATTTCTTAATGTGTTATCACTTCGGGTATTATTTAAACTACTCTAATTTTAATATATTTCTTAATCTGTTATCACTAGTTATTATTTAAACAATTCAGAGACAAACTTTTATTATATGACAAGTTATAACTATATTTCAAATAGTTCTACTATAACTTTCTCATTTACTGCTGATAAGTTTTTTCAGCGGTATTAAGAATCTATTTGATGTTCAGCAAGTTGAATACTGCATTTCAGAATCATTCTTGAATTTTAATTCCCAAAATAATAACCGAGAATATCATATAAATCAAAATTAAGCAATTTTTAATTCCCAAAATAATAACCGAGAATATCATATAAATCAAATTTCTGAAATGAATCCTTCTATGTTAATTTTGATCGATACTCGATAGAAATATGCAGTGAATTATGAATCTATTTTTCTGCACTGTGGTTTCTTAAAAATGTACTCCATAGCAGCCCTTAGTCGAGTTTTGATTTGTTCTACATTTGGGTTTTTGTATTGAGAAAGTGCAAAAACATTCGGAAAAGTTTGTGGGTCTCAGTATTCATTTGACTTACCAATAACTCTCCTCTAAAAGTTTCATAGAACATTGGACATTGGCTTGTCATATGATTCAAAATTGAATTTTTAAAAAGCTCTAAAAGCTCTACTGCTTTGTATAAATTACCTTTGGTGAAAGAATAAAGAAGGTAAAAAATAAAGAAGGGTCCGGTACGTATTTCTAGGATTTAATTTGGATAACTTGGTTAGGTACATTTTGAAGATCTGTTCCCTGGCGTCTGTTGTTATTTCTGAATTATTATGTAGGCTCCTTTGGTATTAGGCGAAAGCTCAAACTGTCATGTTTCATATTGGGTACAAGAAGTTTGTGTCCATTGACATTCATGTCTTCAGAAGTTGTGTTGTATTCTTTAATTTGGTCATTTCTACTAAGAAAGACAATTTACTTTTCAGCGTATTTGATACTTGGCACTTTTGAATTCCTTTGATTTTTTTGCGAGTGTTATAGGGGGAGACAGAGACAACCTATGAAAGTGGTGTGTTTGATACTAAGAAAGACAATTTACTTTTCAGTGTGTTTGATACTTGGCAACGCATACAAATTGATTTCAGAACTTGTTTTTCTGCAGTGTGGTTGTCCAACTAATAACCTTTTTCACAGCATGGAGCTTAGCGTTTTGATTTCTGATTTGGTGATCTTTAAAATTCTTTTTATTTTCAATATTTATTTATCGATTGGTGTTGCAGGATATACACAGTTTCTTCTAGTTCTATTTTCCTCTTGTTTGATCTGCATTCATGGCTGTTGATTTTTTTATTTCTTGATTCTTAGGTTTGATTTGGTTTTTTGTTAGTCTTGACCTTTGGAAGTTAAGGTTTTAAATGATTGCTCCTTTGCATTTTAGCATCTTAGAGGGAGGTTGAGGAATTTTGGACAACATGGTTTGGCATTCTATTGTTCGGGGGTATTTGCCTTGTTATAACTATTTCCCCTATTTTCTTTTCAATGTATTATATATAAGCTTAAGAGTAAGAATTTTCTTTCCCAAATGAGTGTCCCTCACAGAATCTGCAATTGGATCAGCAATTGGAGCACCAGAATCTGCAATTTGCTGTTGCTGTTGTTCTTTCATGTGGTGATCTCTCCTTTGATTGAATTCTTCACAATTAGTTTTCTTGATTCTTTCACGAGTTCTGTGTGGGCGTCACAGGGATTTGATTTCTCTTAGTAAGGCATAAGATGTAATAAATTGGTATATGTTTTCTAGTATTTAATTTGGACAACTTGGTTAGGTATGTTTTGACGATCTGTTCCCTGGGGTCTGTTGTTATTTCTGGTTTATGATGTAGGTCCAATAGCTCCTTTGGTATTAGGTGGAAGCTCAAACTGCCATGTTTCATATTGGGTACAAGTACTTGCTAATTGGCTGGAAGTTTGTGTCCATTAACATCATGTCTTCAGAGGTTGTGTTGTATACTATACAAAAGCTTGTATTCTTTAATTCGGTCATTTCTACTAAGAAAGACAATTTACATTTCAGAGTGTTTGATGCTTGGCAATTTTGAATTCCTTTGATTTTTCAGTGAGTGTTATAGGGGAGACGGAGACAACCTATGAAAGTGGCGGCCTGTGGCCTGTGAAAACAGAGGTTAACATACTATTCTTCCAACATTGAGATACAACCCTTTATTTTATGATATCTATATATTTTTTGATGGTGTGTTATGGGAGTGTTGGAGTTTTGGTATTTCGTAGCAGGAGCATGGTATTGAAGCATACAAGATTCTAGTTTAGAGCACAACTTTCTGCCTGAGCCAATGAATTCTTGACAACTTGGTTTAGCTCACTTTTTATTCTTCTGATTGTCTGCTACTTCCTTTGTTATAATTACTTTACTAGATTCTTGTCATTTGTATTATATATAAGAGTAAAAATCTTTTTTCCCAAATGGATATTTGTCGAAGTAGGGAAGCCCAAATTTTTAATGTTTCACATGGAGTATCAATCTGCAATTGCTGTGACATATATTATCATAGTTAATATGTTTTTATCTGGTGATCTATACTTTGTGGTGTCACAGGGAGTATATGGACTGTGAAAGCTGTGACAAGATTATCTTATCATGGACATCCTTTGAGCCTTAAGATAAAACAGGTCATTATTTACCATGTGATTTCTTCGGGTTCTATTTGCGGGTTTCAGTTTTGGAATTCGTTCTTCTTTTATCACGTTCGAAATATCGGTTTTCATTTGGCTTACCAATAACTACTCTGAAACAGCTGTATGTTGTTTTCTTGGCTAAAGTAGTTCCACTTTGTTTGAACTTGTTTTTCATAAAGCATTGGACATTGGCCTGTTATATGTTTCCTGATTTCTGTATTGATATTCTAAATCAAAATAAGGTAAAAGATAACTCAATCTCAAATTACCAGTCCAAAAATATTGATACTGTCGGCGGTTTTAAAAAACAGTGAGGTGTTTCTTTTCGAATATTAAAAAAGGTCCTGTGGGAGTTATTGGACATGTGAGTTTCTGACACTTGGTTTTGATCAGGCTTACTTTGTTGAAGCAATTAATTTCTTTGTAGCATAGCCTTGGTTTGTTTAATTTGGTGAGATTGACAATTACTGTTAACTTACCTGTATATCTCTTCTCGCTACCTTTATTTTTCATCAATTTGTAGGCGTGCTTGAGTTGATGAGCTACCTCTAAAGAGAGTTATTCTTGTACTCTTTTACTGTTTGTTTCTCTTATTTATGATATATAAGAATAGGAATTCGATTCCTCTAAGGATTTCATCGGGCACCATAATTCCCTGGGATATGTTGTTATTTCTGATTTATGATGTAGTCCCAATAGCTCCTTTGGTATTGTATTAGGTAGAAGCTCAAACTGTCATGTTTCATATTGGGTATAAGTACTTGCAAATTGGCTGGAAGTTTGTGTCCATTAACCATCATGTGTTTAGAGGTTGTGTTGTATTATTTATTTTGGTTATTTCTACTAAGAAAGACAATTTACATTTCAGTGTATTTGATGCTCGGCACTTTTTGAATTCCTTTTTTTTTTGCGAGTGTTATCTGGGAGACCGAGACAACATATGAAAGTGGTGTGTTGTGGCCTGAGGTAATGAGGTTAACATACTATTCTTCCAACGTTGTGATCCCTTCTTTTTTATGATATCTGTTTTTTTATGTCGGGGAGTGTTGGTGTTTTGGTTTTTTGTAGCAGGAGCATGGTATTGAAGCATACAAGATTCTAGACCAGAGTACAACTTTTTGCCTGAGCCAATGAATTCTTGACAACTTGGTTTAGCTCCCTTTTTTTTCTGATTGTTTGCCACTTCCATTGTTGTAATTATTTTACTACATTCTTGTCATTTGTCTTATATATAAGAATAAGAATCTTTTCTCCCAAATGGATATTTGTTGAAGTGGGGAAGCCCAAATTTTTCCGCTTCACATCGAGCATCAATTTGCAACTGGTTGTGGCATATATTATCAGTTATTATGTTTTCATTTGGTGATCTATATTGTGTGCTGTCACAGGGAGTATATGTACTGTGAAAGATGTGGCGAGGCGAGATTATCAAGGACATTCTTTGAGCCTTAGAATAAAACGGGTCATTATTTACCACATGATTTATTCTGGTTATATTTGCTTGCGGGTTTCAATTTTGGAATTTGTTCTTTTATTTTATCACCTTCAATACATCAGTTTTCATTTGGCTTACCTATAACTCTACTCTGAAATAGCTGGTATGTTGTTTTCTTGGCTAAAGTAGTTCCACTTTATTTGAATTTGTGTTCCATAAAACATTGGACATTGGCTTGTCATATGATTCAAATTTGATTTTTTGAAAAGCTCTAAAACCCATAATGTGAATGCATGCAGTCTAGTTACAAAACACCCTTAAGTCAAAATAAGGTGAAAGACTACTTAATCTCTAGGTGGCTAGTCCAAAAATATTGATTTCACAATATTTGAACTCGTATTTCATAAAACATTGGACATTGGCTTGTCATATGATTCAAAATTGAATTTTTGAAAAGCTCTAAAAGCCATTATATGAATGCAGTCTAGTTACAAAACACCCTTAAGTCCAAATAAGGTGAAAGATTACTCAATCTCTGTGGGTGGCAAGTTCAAAAATATTGATAGACTGTGGCAGTTTTAAAAAACAAAGTGAGGTGTTTCTTTTCGAATACTAAAAAAAGGTCCGGCTATAGTTGGAGTTCTCCAGGAATGTGAATATGAAGCATACGAAGTTCTAAATTACATCTTACTTCTTAGGGAGGTTGAGGAGTTTTGGACAAACATGGTTTGGCATTCTATTGTTTGGGGGTATTTGCCTTGTTATAATTATTTCTCCTATTTTCATTTCAACGTAAGAATTTTCTTTCCCAAATGAGTGTCCCTCACAGAATCTGCAATTGGAGCACCAGAATCTGCAATTTGCTGATGTTGTTCTGTCATGTGGTGATCTCTTTGATTGAATTCTTTACAATTAGTTTTCTTGATTCTATTTCGAGTTCTATGTGGGCATCACAGGGATTTGGTTTCTCTTAGTAAGGCATGGGGTGTAATATATTGGTATATATGAACACATTTCCTACTGGTTCGATCTTCCTTATTTCCTCTGGTGTTACAGGAGATGTAATAGGAAATATAATATATATGTAGTCTCTTTCTCTTCTTTGATATTCAAGTTTTTAAATAGTCTCTTTTTTCCCCTTGGTTACATTGGTCTTATGTTTTGATCTTGGAGTTTGTTGTTCTTTTTTAATGGCCCTGTTTGGGTTTTAGTAGACTGTTTTTCCAATTTTATTTTGATAATTTGTGTAGTTTTTTATATAATGATTCATTTGATAATTGTTCAATGCTCTTAAATTAAAAGAATATTGACACGTCTTTATATGTATTGCAGCAAGCCGATTTCTAGGTGTATGGAGCAGTTTGCAATTCTTGATTACAATGGATAAGAACGATAATTGTTATAGAAAGAAGTCTTCCTTTATTATTTTTATATTCAGACTTTAATCACAAAACATATGATTTTAATTCTAAACCTGTTTTTTCTGCAGCTTGGGTTTGTCAAAATAATTTTCAATATATACCATGGAGCGTGAGTTTTGATTTGGTGATCTCTTTTATAATCTCCTACTTTTCAGTAATTTTTTTATTCCTTTTAGGCATATTATTTTTTATCTTTTATTTCATTTGGTCTTCCAGGAAAGGTAGTTTGTGAGCATATTATTCTTCATGTTTTGTATTCTCATTCCTTTAGGTTTTTTTGATTCTGAGGTTTGATTTAGTTCTGGCTTTTATCGCGCCATACATGTGAATTGAAATATTGCGCTTTTTTTTGCAGTGTAGTGTATTATGCGTAGTATCAAGCTTTTATTTTGGTATTTGGATTTTTTTCAATTGATTTCTACTTTGCCGATTCTATTAGTCTAATCTTCTTATTTATTACTATGAATTCCAATTTGATGTTTTTGTTTTGATTAGTCTATTGATGTTTGAGAAGTTCAGTCTTAAGGGTTCTTAACGTGAATACTAGTTCTACATTTGCGTTTTTGTATTGAGAAAGTACAAGTTTACATAATTTTGGAGACATTCGGAGAAGTTCGTGGGCCGCTCTCTGTTATACTGATCTGCAACTTGGTTTGGAGAATTATGCTATATTCTTTCTTTTCTTCTTGGTTCTTTTTCAACAACCTATCTACCAGTTTGATTTTTCTGCATTTATCGTCTGTTGCTAAGAGTAAGTTTGCTGTCCAACAAAAGTTTTCTTAATTTTGAATCAGACTCCCGCCTTTTTAGTTGGTCTATGGTGGAGAAATTGGAGACAAGTGTCTCTGCTGCTTTGTATAAATTATTTTTGGTGAAAGAATAAAGGTGAATGTATAAAGAAGGATACTGATTTTGCTAGCTGGGGTATATATTTTCTAGGATCTAGTTTGGACAACTTGTTTAGGTACGTTTTGACGATCTGTTACCTGGGGTCTGTTGTTATTTCTGATTTATGATGTAGGCCCAATAGCTCCTTTGGTATTAGGTGGAAGCTCAAATTGTCATGTTTCATATTGGGTATAAGTACTTGCAAATTGGCTGGAACTTTGTGTCGATTAACCATCACGTCTTCAGAGGTTGTGTACTTCTTAATTTGGTCATTTCTACTAAGAATAACAATTTACATTTCAGTGTGTTTGATACTCAATTTTGAATTCCTTTGATTTTCTTGCGAGTTATCTGGGAGACTGAGTCAACATATGAAAGTTGTATATTGTGGCCTGTGGAAACAAAGGTTAACATACTACTCTTCCACCAACGTTGGGATATAGCCCTTCTTTTATATGTATCTGTATTTTTTTGATGGTGTGTTCTGGGAATGTTGGATTTTTGGTATTTTTGTAGCAGGAGCATGGTAATTAAGCATACAAGATTCTAGACTAGATAGAGTACATATTTCTGCCTGAGCCAATGAATTCTTGACAACTTGGTTTAGCTCACTGTTTTTTCTGATTGTTTGCCACTTCCGTTGTTGTAATTATTTTACTACATTCTTGTCATTTGTGTTATATATAAGAATAAAAATATTTTCTCCCAAATGGATATTTGTCAAAGTGGAGAAAGCCCAAATAATTTTTTTTCTGTTTCACATGGAGCATCAATCTGCAATTGGCTCACAGAATAAATGTTTTAATTTGGTGATCTATACTTTGTGGGTATCACAGGTATATGGACTGTGAAAACTGTGGCGAGATTGTCAAGGATGTCCTTTGAGCCTTATGATAAAATGGGTCATTATTTACCACATGATTTCTTCGGGTTCTATTTGCAGGTTTCAAAAATATTGATCAACTGTAGGCAGTTTTAAAAAACGAACTGAGGTGTTTCTTTTCGAATATTAAAAAAGGTCTTGTGTGAGTTATTGGACATGTGAGTTCGTGACACTTGGTTTTGATCAGGCTTACTGTGTTGAAACAATTAATTTCTTTGTAGCAACAAGCCTTGGTTTGTTTAATATTATGACAATGACAATTGCTGTTAACTTACCTGTATATCTCTTCTCGATACCTTCTCTGTTTTTCATCAATGTGTGGGGGTGTTTGATTTGATGATCTACTTCTAATGAGAGTTATTCTTGTACCCTTTTACCGTTTGTTTCTGTTATTTACGATATATAGGAATAGGATTTCATTGGGCACCAGAGTTCATTATTGGAATCATCATGTTCTGCAAACTGCAAGACATTTTCTAAGGATTTCGATTCAAGCAGTACAATGCAGTCATTGTTTCTAAGAATGTGCAATTTTAATTCTCTATGATTTTTATCATCGGTGTTATAGTGGCTGCTCAGGTTTACCACAACCTTGTGACAGAACTGGTCATTTTTTTCCTTCTAATTGTGTACTTTTTCAGTTATCTTTTGATTGTCTGACCTGTCAGGATTAATTAAGCAAGATTCTGTAGAAAACCTTTAATTTATGGGATTAACAGCGTGGTTGAGGCTTTCGTTTTCAATGAATATTTTCTTTGGCACATTTGGCAAAGTCTCCTCTATTCGGTAAATTGTGGTTATATTGAGCTCCAAAATCTGCAATTTGATAACAATCGTTCCAAATATAAATATTTTGTTGGTTGTGTCATATATTTATTCTCATTATTTCTAGATTTTAATCTAAAGATCTCTATTTGTATATAAATAATGTATTTCTTAGTGTTATCACTTCGGTTATTATTTAAACTACTCTGTAATTTTAATGTATTTCTTAATCTGTTATCACTACAGGTATTATTTAAACAATTCAGAGACAAACTTTTCTTACATGACAAGTTATAACTATATTTCAAATAGTTCTACTATAACTTTCTCATTACTGCTGATAAGTTTTCTCAGCGGTATTAAGAATCTATTTTGATCGATACTCGATAGAAATATGCAGTGAATTATGAAATCTATTTTTCTGCACTGTGTTTTCTTAAAAATGTACTCCGTAGCAGCCCTGAGTCGAGTTTTGATCTGGTGATCTATGGTAAATTCTTTTTATATTTCATGGTTTGCTTTTCTTGGTTTCTTGATCTGCTAGAGGAAGATTTTAGGGATTTGGTTATTATTGATTTGATTTTCGATTGTAGATATTGAGAATTTGGGTTAAATTATCAAGAATCTTTTGATATAATTATTCATTGGATAATCAAGATATTCATTTATTTCTTTTGCAGCAATTTGCGATTCTTGATGCAATGGATAAGGATGGTTTTGCAGCAATTTGGGATTCTTGATGCAATGGATAAGAATGGAGAACGACTTTTCCAGACTCTTATCCATTTTGCAGGGAGGCTAGGATTACCTTCATGTCTAAAATTTGATGATATTCTGCAGTGTTTGGCACTTATTTTATGTTTTGGAATTGTTGCTCTGCTAACAATTTGATGATATTCTGCAGTGTTTGGCACTTATTAAATGTGATATATTATACTAACAATTAAAATTCTCTCCTTAATGGGTATCCCTCACTTCCTTTGTTATAATATTTAACAATCTTCTCCGGAAAAATGGTATTCGACACACTGAAGAAGTATAAATATTTGTCTTTTCACAGACACCAATCAGTAATTGGATGTGCCATATATATTCTCATTGTTATCCGATTATTTGGTGGATCTCTAACTTAAATTGTGAATTGTTTTCATTTCCTTTATACCTTGGGCTTTGTAACTGTAATCTTCTTTTACTATTTTTTTAAAATTCTTTTTATTGTCATGTGATTTCTGAGGATGATTATATTATACTTTGAAAAATATCCTCTTTCTTGCAGTGGTCAAGGTACTCCTCTGTATTAGGATGGAAATTTGTTTCACTGAATCATCATCTTTTGCATGCTGTGTCTTATATTTCATAGTCCATCCTGTTGCTAGGCCTCAATTTGGTCATCTCTACTCACTCTTCACATTTCAGTCTTTTCCATACTCGCCTTTGTCCCTTGTGATTTGCTATGGAACCTGTGCCAAGAAGATGTTCGCATACTTTAGTGTTCAGCCTGGGAAGAAATTGATTATTATATTATTACTTATGTTGTATGTGCATATGTTTTCGGATTTGTGATAGTTTTTTTCTTTGATGGCATGTCTTGCTATAGTTGGGGATTTCCTGTTTCTGCATCAGGAACGTGAATATGAAGCATACAAAGTTCTAAATTACATCTTACATCATAGGGAGGTTGAGGAATTTTGGACAACATGGTTTGGCATTCTATTGTTTGGGGTATTTTTCTTGTTATAATTATTTCCCCTATTTTCTTTTCAACGTATTATATATAAATAAGCAAAAGAATTAGAATTTTCTTGCCAAATGAGTGTCGCTCACAGAATCTGCAATTGGAGCACTAGAATCTGCAATTTGCTGCTGTTGTTCTTTCATGCGGTGATCTCTCCTCTGATTGATTTCTTTACGATTAGATTTCTTAATTCTTTCACGAGTTCTATGTGGGCGTCACAGGGATTTGGTTTCTCTTAGTAAGGCATGAGATGTAATATATTGGTATATATGAACACAATTCCTTCTGATTCAATCTTCCTTATTTCCTCTGGTGTTACAAGAGATGTAATAGGAAATATAATATATAGGTAGATATGAACACAATTCCTTCTTTGATATTCAAGTTTTTAAATATTCTCTATTTTTTATCCTTTGTTACATTGGTCTTATCCTTTGTTACATTGGTCTTATGATGTAGGGGTTTTATCTGGTTCTTGCTGGTTTTGATCTTGGAGTTTGTTCTTTTTTAATTGTCCTGTTTGGGTTTTAATAGACTGTTTTTCCAATTTTATTTTAATAATTTGTGTAGTTTTTTTATATTTAATGCTTCATTCGATAATCGTTCAATGCTCTTAAATTAAAAGAATTTTGACCCGTGTTTATCCGTATTGCAGCAGGCTGATTTCTAGGTATCTGGAGCAGTTTGCAGCAGTTTGTGAGCATATTATTCTTCATGTTCTGTATTCTGATTCCTTTCGGTTTTTTTGATTTAGTTCTGGCTTTTATTGCCATACATATGAATTGAAATATGGCTCTTTTTTTTTTGCAGTGTAGTGTATTATCATATTATGCATAGTATCAAGCCCGAGTTTATTTTGGTACTCGGATTTTTTTCATTTGATTTCTTCTCTGCCAACTTTTTATCTAATCTTTTTATTTATTACATTATGAATTCCAATTGGATGTTTTTGTTTTGATTAGTCTATTGATGTTTAATTGAAAAGTTCAGTCTTGAGGGTTCTTAACATCAATACTACTTACAAACATTTGTTCTACATTTGGGATTTTGTATTGAGAAAGTGCAAAAGTTTACATAATCTTGGAGAAATTGGGAAAAGTTTGTGGGTCTCTCTACTGCTCTGTATAAATCAGCTTGAAAGAATAAAGAAGGTAAAAAATAAAGAAGGGTCCGGTATGTATTTCTAGGATTTAATTTGGACAACTTGGTAAGGTACAGTTTGACGATCTGTTCCCTGGGGTCTGTTGTTATTTCTGAATTATGATGTAGGCTCCTTCGGTATTAAGCGAAAGCTCAAACTGTCATGTTTCATATTGGATACAAGAAGTTTGTGTCCATTAGCCATCATGTCTTCAGAGGTTGTGTTGTATTCTTTAATTTGGTCATCTTCACTAAGAAAGACAATTTACTTTTCTGTGTGTTATAGGGGGAGACAGAGACAACCTATGAAAGTGGTGTGTTTGATACTAAGAAAGACAATTTACTTTTCAGTGTATTTGATACTTGGCACCTTTGAATTCCTTTGATTTTTCTGCGAGTGTTATAGGGGGAGACAGAGACAACCTATGAAAGTGGTGTGCTGTGGCCTGTGGAAACAGAGGTTAACATACTATTCTTCCAACGTTGGGATGTTGCCCTTCTTTTTTTATGATATCTGTATTTTTTTATGTGTTCTGGGAATGTTGGATTTTTGGTTTTTTTGTAGCAGGAGCATGGTATTGAAGCATAAAAGATCCTAGACTAGTGTACAACTTTCTGCGTTAGAAGTGGGGAATACTTTGTGGGTGTCATAGGGAGTAACTGTGAAAGTTGTGGTGAGATCATCTTATCAAGGACATCCTTTGAGCCTTAGGTTAAAACAGGTCATTATTTACCATGTGATTTCTACGGGTTCTATTTGCGGGTTTCAATTTTGGAATTCGTTCTTCTTTTATCACCTTCAATATATCAGTTTTCATTTGGCTTACCAATAACTCTCCTCTTAAAGTTTCATAGAACATTGGACATTGGGTTGTCATATGATTCAAAATTGAATTTTTGAAAAGCTCTGAAAGCCATTATGTGAATGCAGTCTAGTTACAAAACACAACCAACGCAAGTCTTCTCACGACCAGGAGAGGATGTGTTATGTTCGTGTTCGTGTATGTTTGTTGAAATTATAAGGATTTGTTGATTTGTATTGATATTGATAATCTGTCGGCAGTTTTCTTTTTGAATATTAAAAAAGGTCCTGTGGGAGTTATTGGACTGGACATGTGAGTTTGTGACCCTTGGTTTTGATCAGGCTTACTCTGTTGTAGCAATTAATTTCTTTGTAGCATCAAGCCTTGGGTGACAATGATAATTACTGTTAACTTACCTGTATATCTCTTCTTGCTACCTTCTCTGTTTGTCATCAATTTGTGGGCCTGTTTGATTTGATGATCTACTTCTAAAGAGAATAGGAATAGGAATTTGTTTCCTCTCTAAGGATTTCATTTGGCACCAGAATTCATTAGTGGAACCATCATGTTCTGCAGGCCATAAGATATTTTCTAAGGAATTCGAGCAGTACAATTCAGTCATTGTTTCTAAGAATGTGCAATTTTAATTCTCTATGATTTTTATCATCGGTGTTATAGGTCCTAAAAGTTGGCTGTTAAAGTGGCTGCTGAGATTTACCACAACCTTGTGACAGAACTGGTCATTTTTTCTATTTGTGTACTTTTTCAGTTATTTTGATTGTCTGACCTGCCAGGATTAATTAAGCAAGATTCTTAGAAAACTTTTCATTTGTAGGATGAACAGCTGTGGTTGAGGCTTTCAATAATGATGAATATTTTCTTTGGCACATTTGGGTTTTTTTGGACTGGTAAAAAGTCTAAAGATTTGCCCAATCTTTTGGTCCAATCTAGTAAGAGTGTGTATAGGTGAATCATCATTCATTGGACAATGTACAAGAAATGACAACTGGACAATGTACAAGAATTTGATTCCTTTCCCTGTCAACCGCGGATCTAGAATTACCGGTTGCCTGCACTTCACGTAAGCCAAACTGTAGTTAATTATAATTGTCTATATAAGTGACTCTGTCACTATCAGGTATTTCTTTACTCATTTGTAAAATTCTATATCTCATTCATATATTAACTTAAGCTAACTTGAGCGTCGGAGTGCTAACATTTTGCAGGTACCCTCTCTGACCACCACAGGAAGTCTTATTACGGAAGTCGTCTTCAATACTAAATCCTAAATATTAATTGCATCAGGTCTTCTACATGCTGGAGTTCTGATGTTAATTTTTTTTATTGCCATACTAGTGAATTGAAATCTGAATTGTTTAAAGCATGTAGTCTATTTAGAAACAATAATCTAAAGTGTAGTACTAAGCTTCAGGTTAAATTTGGTTTGAAATCTGAATTGTTTAAAGCATGTAGTCTATTTATAAACAATAATTTAAAGTGTAGTACTAAGCTTCAGGTTAAATTTGGTACGCCAAACTTAAATTGTGAATTATATTTCATTTCCTCTGTTGTCCTTATATATAGTCTTCATGATCTGTCACTCCTTTTTGACCCTTTGTTGGTGGTTGATCCGTTTGTTGGTGGTTGGTATAATCCTTCACTAGAATTGTTACACAACAAACCTGATCCTCTGGTTTGGTTTCCTAATTAGTTGAAGATCTGCTTAGTACTCTTGATTCTTGCGATTATGTTTGAGTTTATTCTTGTGATATCTGCTGGACTTTGAAGCTTGGATAAAGATTATCAAAGATTGTTTATTACTTCCGTCCTATAAAGAGTGATTCAGTATATTATTTTACACAAATTAAAAAAAGTGAAGAGAAATATTTTTATTGTAGTATCTCTAATCATATATTGAAAATGATAAAAGTTTAATTAATTAGAGGATAGAATTGGAAAAGCGTATTGAAAATTGAAATAGATCATTTATTTTGATACAGTAAAAAAAATCGTCTTTTATATAGCAAGAGAATTCTTAAGTGGGTGAATGCTTGAACCATCATGTTCTGCCGGCTATGTGGGATTTGAATTATGTACATTTGAGACATTGAATATATGATATGGGATTATAATTGTGTATATTTTGGTTATTATTCCATAGTTTTAAGAAAATTGTTTTAATTTTATGTTGCAGTTGGGATTTCCAAAATCATTAAATCTCGGAGTAAAAGGAGTCATTTTTCTATTCATGTGTTTTTTTTAGTTATTGTTTGATTGTTAGACTTGGAATGTTAACTAGAGGAAGTACACAAGATCTGCAACATCTTTTGGACAACTTGGTTGATGGTTTTATCTTTCGTAAGGATAAATGAATGTTTATTATTAATAATTGATCGTATCTGATCAGAAGAGATTGTCAAAATCTTAAGCTTTGAATCGAACAACCGTGGAATGTTAAGTGGATGGGAGAGGGGTACCTGCAAAACACTCAGATGCTGAAGTGTCAGAGGTTATGTAAGTAAGTGAATTTAAGAGTGTGAATGAATCAATATCTGACTCTTGAATGAAAGGGTATTTATATCCTCTAATAAATGTAGGTCACGATGACGCCCAACAACGAAGACTGTCAGGGCTTGCGTGTGTATGGAGTCACGTGGCCTTTCCGCTGATCAACTGTTTCGAGAAAACATGTGTTGCGCTGTGATTCCCAAAGAACAGTATGATGATGATATAGACACATAGGTAACGTCTTTCTAGCGGACACGTGGAAAAATGTCCAACGGTCTTCAGCTTTGGCTGCATGTCTTTAGGCTTTGGGCTGCATGCCTTTAGGCCTTGGGCAATGATGTTGGATTTGTCTCTCCAACAGTGGGGCAAATGTTGGCTCAGTCCAGAACAGGAGCCTTCAAATTATTGTTCTTAGGTGAAAGGGTGATGATTTAAGTTTGGCTTCATTGTCAGGGAACACTCGCCCGAGTACGGGAATTGTAACCCTCCATCAGGGATAATTTGTTGACCTGTGTTAAGGATAGCTGGTTGACCCGTGTCGTGGATCCCAAAAACATGTGAACTGCGCGATCTATTAGATCATTTGTCTGTTTGGTGTCCGTCAGGAATATGTAGGATGTTAGGAGTTTCTCTGAGTTTTCTTTTTCGACATGTCCGTTCAAAGGCTGTCGCTATGATGTCGAGCGTTATCTCGCCCTTGCGAGCGAAATATGATAAATACGCCTGTATGTAAGGTTGTCACGGGGTCAGGCTTTTGCTCGTTATTGAGCGTGCAACGTCTTCAACGTGCTCAGGAATCGTATTGAAGTCGGGGATAAGTTCGTCTTCAGGAGTGGGCACGTGGATGTTTGTTAACGCCACATGGTAGCTGTTGTGGATTGCTATCTTTTCGTAGGGGGTTTAAAAAGCCTAAAATGATGATTATTTTTTGTGTGCAGCCTCGTGTAGGTGTGAACCATCTATAAAAAGGAGACCCCAAAGGTTTATTTGTTAATTTCAAGCTTTCTTCTGCACTCTTCTCCATTCGCGCGTGAATCCTCTCCTCATAATCTCTCTGTAGAATTCTTCAAAGACATTCTTTATCCAAGTAAGTCATATCCTCTTGGTAATATGCTTTCTTAGAATTTTTAGATTAACCATTCAGTTTTCATCTTGAGTGGATGAATCTTGGATGAACATTCATGGGTTCTGTCATGAATGTTCATTGAAGTTCATGGTAGTGGATGAAGTTCATAGAGTTGGGGCAATTCTCCCCAGATAGTAGGGTGGATTCGGGCATATGCCCGTTTGACCAAATGTCCTCGAATAGGATGCGGTTTGTCTCAGTGCGGCAGTCGAGGGCTTGGGTCGAGGTCAATTCCTTGATGGATTCATCGCCCTTTCATTTGATTTACGGTGGAAGGGTGAATCTTATGGTCAAATTTACTGTTTTCTCCTGCTTTTTAGGTATAAGGGCACATCCAATCGAGGAGGACGTCATGCTCATCAATCGTGAGGACGAAACAATTGTCGATGAGGACCCTTTGGCATGGGTTGCGCCCCAACCTAGAAAAAAAGGTCGTGTTTCTTGCATGATGCGTTTGACACGTTTAATTGTCCAGAGATTCGAGCAGAGGGGGCCCTCACCAATTAGGCTCTACAAATCCCTCATTGAAATAGGAGGATATGCTTGTCGTATCCGGCAAGCGCTTCCCTATGTATGAATTTGTTTTCAAGGAGGCGGCTTGTCATTTAATGACTTTTAAGTGGGGTTTTTCAATGGTTATAATTGGAACCCTCTCAGCTTCACCCGAATACGCTTGCGTTCATGCAGGCATTTGAGCTCGTCTGTCAACATATTCAAATAGGCGCCACACTGTCCCTCTTTTTCTGAATCTTCCACTTGCAAAGGCAGTCCATTGGAGGGGGGCAAGTCTGGGTGTTTTTTAAACAGTTTAGAAAACTTTTTCGGGCATATATGAAAACTTTGTCGTGAATTCTCTTACGGAAGTGGCCATAACTTTCTTGTACGATCGCTCGGAAGAGATGGAGGAAGGCCGACCAGTAGTCTGGCTGGTGGTCACATTTTCGCTTGAATGGCAGTGAAGCATTTCGAGCAAAAACCCGAGTACTATGCGGTGAAACCTGAGGATTTAGATGCCCAGGATTAGCTCTCCTATGAGAAGTTGCGTCTTATGTTAAGAGTTTCTCACCGACGAGGTGCGTGGACGTGAACAACAACTTCCTCTTTGATGATAAAGGGGAGTATCTCCTCGTTAATAGGTTGATCAATACAAAATCTTTGCTCGACTGTTTTTCAGATGAGGAGGCTTTGAGGCTTTTAGGTAGGGTATATGGCCGTGACCATAGGACGCTATGTAGCTCTTCAACCCACCCCCTTTTGGCTTCGCCCAACCTACGTTTGAGTCCTCGTAAAATGACTCTGTTCGCAGCCTCTGCTCGCAGCCTCTGCTTGCCCATTTATTTGAGGGTGTTCGACTGCAATGAAGTGATGTTTGGTGCTGAGCTTGGCGACGAAGTCTTGGAACCCTTGATCGGTGAGTTGTTCCTATCGTCAGTGACAATCGCTTGTGGTATCCTAAATCGGGAAAGTATGTTTCGCTTGTAGAAATGAAGAATATTGTGCGAGGTGATTCTGGCCAGGGCCTCGGCTTCTATCCACTTCGTGAAATAGTTGACGGCCACAATCAAAATTTTTTGATACGAACCTTGCACGAAGGGTTCGAGGATGTCCATTCCCCACCAGGCGAAAGGCCACGGAAAGGATAGTGTTTTGAGCTCGTGTAGGGGCGCGAGGTGCATGTCCGCGTGTTTCTGATATTTATCGCAGTTTTTGACGTGCACCGTTGCATCTTACTACATGGTGGGCTAGTAATAGCCTGCCCACATCTCCTTTCGTGTCAGGGATCTTCGACTCAGATGTTGGGAGTTGATTCCCTCGTGGATCTCCCGCAATATCTCGGGGATTATGGATTCATCGACACATTTAAGGAGTGGGATGGAGAATTCTCACCTATAAATTTTGTGCTCGAGCACCACATACGAACAAACACGTTGTTTGGTAGCGCCTACTTCCCTTTGGTCGACGGGCAATTCCTCCTTTGTCAGAAAGTTAAACACCGAGGCCATCCAACTTGAACCGTCCCCGATGGCGTTTACCTCGGGGGGTATAGTGGATTTTCCAATACTCGGGCGAGAAAGGGATTCTTGGATGACAGATTTGTTCCCCCGTTTCTTCTTTGTGCTCGTGAGCTTTGAAAGTATGTTTGCCTGTGTATTTTGTTTGCGAGGTACGTGTTTGATTTCTGTTCAGTCAAACCTCTTCATCTGTTCTCTGACTAGGTTCAGGTATTCGATGAGGTTGTTGTTCTTAGCTTGATACCCTCCTTGCACCTGGGATGCGACGAGTTGGGATTATGTGAAAATTTGTATTTCTCGGGCACCCAAATCTTCAGTCAGCCTTAATCCTGCGAGAAGGGTCTCATATTCCGCTTGATTGTTCGACATCGAAAATGAAAGGGTAAGGGAGTGCTCGATAACGATGACTTCCTTGTTCTCGAGGAGGATACCCACTCTGCTCCCTGTCGAGCTGGAAGCTCCGTCCACAAAGATTTTCCACTTATGCCTCTTCCTTATGGAGGAATTGTGAGCGGTCATCTCTGCATAAAGTCAGCCAGCGCTTGGGCTTTAAGGGCCTTCCTGCTCTCGTACTGGATGTCAAACTCCGAAGGCTCCAAAGACCATTTTAGTATTCGACCGACCATGTCTGGTCGGCATAAGAGTTGCCTCACGGGTTGGTTTGTTCGTACGATGATCGTGTGGGCTAGGAATTAGCGTCTAAGTCTTCTCGTCGCGTTGATGAGGGCTAAGGTTACTTTTTTAATCTGTTGATATCTAACCTCGGACCTTTGCAGCACTTTACTCGTAAAATATACGGGTCTTTGCTCGTCTGGAGTCTCGCAAATGACGGCCGCACTTACGACCTTGGCGGAGACGGCCAGGTATCTTCCCATTCTCAGGTCGCGATAGCACGAGCGGTTGGGAAAGGCTTTGTTTGAGGTGGAGGAGGGCTCGCTCGTATTCCTCGGTCCACTCGAAAGCCGCTTTTTTGCGCAGAAGTTTGAAAAATGGTAGAGCGTGTTGTACGAATTTCGCCATAAAATGGGAGAGCAAGGTGAGCATACCGTTTAGGACTTGTATGTATTTTTTTGAGCTAGGCGTAGAAAGCTCGGAGAATTTCCGACATTTGTCGGGGTTGGCTTCAATTCCCCGTTCGGTCAGATAGTATTGAATATATAAGTAGCTAAGTCCCTATTTTAGTTTATATATTTGACTGGAAGCTGTAAGTATCAGCTTAGCTTAACCTATAATAGAGGTTACCCTTGATGCTGTATATAAAGCATCAAGGAGCCTTTTGTAACTAACAGAAAAAGCATAACAGAATTCAATTACAGATATGAAAGCACTTCTCTTCTCTACTCTTCTTTCTTACATGGTATCAGATTACTGAGTCGATCCATGGCTACCATCGCTTCACCATCGCCTCTGTCTTCCGCTAGGGTTTTGCGTGAACCAACGCCGGTTTCGTCGCCAATGGTGGATGATTCTCGCCGATTGCACTTCTCGCTCAAGATTGCGTAGAAGTTGGATGAGAAGAACTTCTATCTCTGGCGTCAACAGGTAGAACCTTACAACAATGCTCATGATCTCATAGATCTGGTGGTATGCGCTTGTGTTTCGTTGAAATTTATTGACGATGTCGCTCGCCGTTCTGGTTCTGTTAATCCAGCGTACTCTAGCTGGATTCAGAAGGACCAATTATTATTGTCTTGGATTCAATCTACACTTTCTAGTGAGATTCTCTCACGCGTGCTTGGTTGTAACCACTCTCATGAACCGTGGGATCGTCTTTTCAGCTATTTTTAGAAACAAACTTGAGCTAGGGCACACCTCTGCATGTTGAATTGCGTGTTCTTACACTTGACACTCTTTCTGTTCAAGCTATCTGCTGAAGATCCGTACCATTGTTGATGCGCTTGCATCCATTGGTGATCCAATTCCTGTGTCATATCATATTGATGTGATTCTTGAGGGTTTGCCTGCTGAATTTGCTCCGGTTGTGTCTGTTAATGAAAGCAAATTTGGAGTTATGGACATTGATGAGGTTGAAATTATTCTCTTGGCTTATGAGTTGCACTTGAACAAGTTCAAGAAGCATCCAATTCCAGATTTGGCTTCTCTTAACCTAACTCACACTGTGCCTCAGTCACCAACAACAAATGAGTCTTCAGCACCTATCATTGATTCTTCCTTTGCTCACACTGGTCACTCTAATCAAGTGCATGATTATCAACCTTTTAGAGGTGGAAAATATCATTGTGGTGGTAGGTTTGGTCGTGGCAGAGGTGGCAGATTCTCCAACTCTAACATTCAGTGCCAAGTTTGCTCCAAACCTAGTCATTCTGCCCTACAGTGCTGGCACAGGTTTAACCATCAGTTCCAACCTTCTGGGGCAAACTATGTCCAACCTTAATGGCAGGGTGCTCATGCCTATTACACTCAAGCATCACCTCAAGTCTCTCCTTATGTGTGGTCCAGGCCTCCTGTTGTGCCTTCTTATCCTCCTGCCATTACACAACCTCCAAGTACCTTTGTGGCAAATGCTTCACCATCTCCATCTGGTTCTTGGTTTCCTGATTCTGGCGCCTCATACCATGTCACCAGTGATGCAAAGAACTTACAACAAGTGACTCCCTTTGAAGGTCGTGATCAAATTTTCATTGCTAATGGACAAGGTTTGACTATTCAGTCTGCTGGTTCAAGATTCTTTCCTTCACCTTTTCACCCTACCACACACCTCACTCTCAAGAACTTACTCCACGTTCCTGCTATCACTAAAAACCTGCTTAGTGTCAGTCAGTTTTCTAAGGATAACTGTGTGTACTTTTTATTCTCAACTAACAAGTGTCTTGTTAAATGTCAGGCGTCTGATGCCACTCTTCTTGAAGGTCATGTATGAGTTGATGGACTCTATGAGTTTCCCTCTATTGATATGTCACAATCTGCTAAGTCTTTGTTGCATTCTACTAGTTTTTCCTCCAATAATGTTGCACCTAGTGCTAATATAGTTTCTCTTTGTAATAGCTTACCTTACATGTGGCATATTAGGTTAGGACACCCTAACAATCATGCTCTCAAGCTTGTTTTGCAACATTGTAATGTTCTGTTCAGTAATAAAACTTGTGATATGTTCTGTTCTGCTTGTTGTATGGGTAAATCCCACATATTACATGCTCCCACTTCACACACAGTTTACACAAAACTTGTTGAACTTGTTTATATTGACTTATGGGGGCCCTCACCCAAGGCCTTTGCATCTGGTTTCTCGTATTATATGTCCTTTGTGGATGCTTATTCCAAGTTTACTTAGATCTATCTTCTTAAAGCTAGATCTGAAGCCATTTTTTCAAAAGTTTAAAGCATTGGTTGAACTGCAACATGAGTCCCGTATTAAAGTTGTTCAGTCTGTCTGGGGGGTGAATTCAGGCTATTTACCAAATATCTAACTGAGGTGGGTATTAACCATCGTCTTATTTGTCCACACACACACACACACCACCAGAATGGTGTCATTAAAAGAAAGCACAGACACATAGTAGATTTAGGGCTTACCTTGCTTAGTCAGGCTCCCCTTCCTTTAATATATTGGGACTATGCCTTTTCCACTACTGTATATCTTATTAACAGACTGCCATATGCTTCCATTCATTTTAAGGTTCCTTACACTCTTCTATTCCATCAACAGCCTGATTACATGTTTCTGAAAGTTTTTGGATGTGCATGTTTTCCTCTCTTGAGACCTTATCTTTCTCATAAACTTAACTCCAGATCTCAAGAATGCCTCTTTCTTGGATATTCCACGTCTCACAAAGGCTATAGGTGTCTGGCTCCTAATGGAAGGTTGTACATCTCAAAGGATATTCTATTTAATGAGTCTAGATTTCCATATCTAGATTTATTTTCTTCCAGACCTAGTGTTGTTTCCAGCCACAGTACATCCTTGGCACCCCATTACTCTAGCCCCCTTTTGAGTGCTCTTACTCCTTACATCACCTCTTCACAATCTCTTATCCCTAGTCCTTCAAATGATCTCCAACCTGCCTCTCATACTACCTCACATGTTCATGCTCCTACCTCTGTCTTTTCTAGCCCTAAGGATTCATCACCAGCTAGTAGTTCTGGAGCTCCTTCACCTACTACTGCCAGCAACTCCTCAGGGTCCTTCTCATCCTTCTCTAGTCAGGCTGACCCTTCATTCAGCTCATCTTCAAACTGATTCTGAACCACATGTGCCTCATAAGGTTATTCATGTGCCCGTTATCCCTCAGAATTCTCATCCTATGATTACTAGGGCCAAATTTGGATTCTCTCAGCCTAGACTGGATCCTAGGGTGCTTCTTACTTACTCTGAGCTTAAATTTGTTAGACAGGCTCTTCCTAATTTGCATTAGAAGGAAGCTATGCAAGATGAATTTGATGCCTTACAGAAAAATGCCACATGGTCTCTTGTGCCCTTACCCCCTAACAAGAATGTTATTGACTGCAAGTGGGTCTTTAGGTTCAAGGAAAATCCTGATGGAACCATCAATAGATACAAGGACAGCTTGGTAGCCAAAGGTTTTCATCAGAGGCATGGTCTGGATTTTACTGAGACCTTTTCACCTGTTGTGAAGCCTGTTACTATCAGGATCATCCTCACTATTGCCATTACCCATATGTGGTCTATTCAACAGTTGGATGTAAATAATGCCTTTATTAATGGATTCCCTGATGAAGAAGTTTACATGGAGCAGCCTCAAGGGTTTGTTCACTATAATTCCTCTCTGGTGTGTAAACTCAACAAGGCTTTCTATGGCCTGAAACAGGCTCTAAGGCAGTGGTTTGAGAGACTGCAATCAACTCTTCTCAAGCTCAACTTTAAAGCCAGCAAGTGTGACCCCTCTCTCTTCACCTACTTCTCAAAAGGGAACTCTCTTTATCTACTTGTTTATGTAGATGATATTATCCTCACAGAAAATTCTACTGCTCTTCTCAATGAGGTAATTCATAAGCTTAGTTCTGCTTTCTCTCTCAAGCACCTTGGGGATCTTGATTATTTTTTGGGTAATGAGGTCAAGCAGTCAGCTCATGATTCTATGCTTCTCACTCAAACTAAGTATCTCAGAGATTTGCTGCAGAAAACTAACATGTTGGAAGCTTGTTTTGTTAGCACACCCATGCAGTCCACCTGCAAACTCACCAAATACTGGGTCAGCAACCTTTTCTGATCCTTTTATGTACAGGTCTGTAGTTGGTGCCTTGCAGTATGCCACCATCACCAGACTAGATTTGACCTATGCTATTAACAAAGTGTGTCAGTTTATGTCACATCCTCATGGTTTATCTCTCAATCCCCTTTCCCCTCAGGCTGCTCCCTCTCTTCATGTCTACTGTGATGCTGATTGGGCTTTAGATCCAGATGACAGAAGACGTACTTCTGGTGCTGCTATTTTCTTTGGAGCTAATTTGATTGCCTGGTGGTCAAAGAAGCAACCAGTTGTTGCTAGGTCCAGCACTGAATCTGAATACAAAAGTTTAGCTCAAGCTATAGATGACCTTCTTTGGATACAGACATTGTTGCAGGAACTGTGTATTCAAACCAAGCCTCTCATCATATTGTGTGATAATCAGTCAACTGTTTTATTAGCTCATAACCCTGTTTTGCATTCTAGGACTAAGCATATGGAGATTGATCTATTTTTTGTGAGGGAAAAGGTTTTGGCTAAGCAAATTCAGGTGCTGCACATCCTTGGCACTGATCAGATTACTGATGTGTTGACTAAGCCCTTGGCTTCCACCAAATTTTTTGAGCTTATACACAAACTTAGGGTAGCTAGCTCCCCTTAGTTTGTGGGGGGGGGGGGGGGGGGTATTAAATATATAAGTAGCTAAGTCCTTATTTTAGTTTATATATTTGACTGGAAGCTTAAGTATCAGCTTAGTTTAACCTGTAATAGCATGTTACGCTTGATGTTGTATATAAAGCATCAAGGAGCCTTTTGTAACTAACAGAAAAAGCATAATAGAATTCAATTACAGAAATGAAAACACTTCTCTTCTCTACTCTTCTTTCTTACAGATAGAAATCGAGAAATTTTCCCGCCTTAACCCCGAAGGTGCATTTCTTGGGGTTAAACCTCATTTTGCATTGTCTCGCTTGGGCGAAGACTCTTTTAAGGTGGGCAGCATGGTCGATTTTTGTTCGAGATTTAACGATCAGGTCGCCCATGTATACCTAGAGCATATCTCTGATCTCGTCGTGGAAGACTTTGTTCATCATTTGCTGGTATGTTGCCCCTGCGTTTTTTAGGCCGAAGGGCATTACGTTGTAGTAGTAGTTGCCTGAGCCGGTCATGAAAGCAGTGCAATGCTTATCGCTCATCTCGCTATTGGGATTTGGTTGTAGCTTGAATAGGCGTCTATAAACGATAAAATTTTATAGTCGGCCGAGTTATCGACCAACATATCAATGTTAGGTAAAGGAAAAACATCTTTGGGACATGCCCGATTAAGATCGGAGTAATCAACACACATTCTCCATTTTCCATTATCTTTTTGACAAGTACAACGTTTGATAGCCAGGTTGAATACCGCTCCTCAGAAATAAATTTTGCCTCTAGGAGGTCTTTTACATCATTTTCAACAGCCTCCGCTTTCTCGAGAGACTGCTTACATCTACGTTGTACTACTGCCCTGGAGGTTGGATCAATGGCGAGTTGGTGACGACAACCTCGAGGTCGAATTCGGGCATCTCCACAGTGCTCCATGCAAACATGTTCGCGTTCTCCCTTAAGCAAGCTTTGAGCTACCTCCTCGCCAAGTCAAGGAGTCCAGGCCGATCTTCACACCTTTGTGAGGGTCTTCACCGAGGGGGATGAACTCGAAGTCTCCGTTTGGAATGGGTCAGAGAAGTTCATGTTTGTTGTTGGGGGCTTCGACTTCATCATTGTCAAAGCGGGAGTCGAGCGAGATGGCGTCGACCTTTGGTAGAGCCCTTTGTTCTTCTGTTCGAGCAGACTATGATTCAGGTCGAGCGATGGTAGCTCTTTTGGTGGGCCACGCTCCAGTGTCGACCATACTCTGCCCTTTGGAAGCCGCGTGAAAACACCTTCGGGCAGTTGAGATGTCCCTGTGGATGGTGGTGACGCGTCCCCTTCGGGTGTAGAATTTCATCTTCAAATGGACAGTGGAGGGCACAACGGTCAACTCAGCCAGTGTCGGTCTCCCTAGGATGTAGTTATAGAGAGATGAGCAGTCGATCACCAGAAACTGCACCTTAATCTGTCGGGAAGCAGTCTCTTCCCTGAAGGTGACAAAAAGCTCAACATAACCCCACAGCTTAGAGGTCGAGCCATTGAATCCTTACAAGTCAGACCCCAGTATGGCGATAGGTGGGTGTCGTCGAGCTGTAGGGTTCAGAATAGACGGTTGTACATGACGACAGAACTCCCCTCGTCGACCAGAATATGGTGTACGTCAAAATTAGCCATCCTTGCCTTCACTAGCAGAGGGATGCTCGAGTTAGTGGCCTCGTCGAGCAATTCCTCCAGGTAGAAATGATTGGTTCATATTTTCCTTTGAACCTCTCGAGTGTCACCGCTTTGGTTGGGGTTGCGTACACCAGCTCGTCGATCTTCCTCTTCGCAGAGTTTACAGAGAGGTCGTTGAATCCCCCGCCAGTTATGACATGACGGAGGGGAATTTCTCCCATCTGCTATGTGGGGACAAGGGTTCATCCCCGTAGTTGTCGGGGAGGTGGAAGTCCTCCGGCCTTGTCAGGGAGAAAGTTATTTGTATGGGGCCCGACTCATCCGATGGTCGGGTTTCTCCTTCGACTTCTTTCACCTCGCGGGTGTCTCAGCGAGGGGTGTCATTGCGTCGCTATTGCCCGAGTTTGCCACCCTTGATAAGGATCTCAATGGCATCCTTGGGGTTGACACAGTCTTCTGTCAGGTGCCCGTGACTCCGATGGTATTGACAGTATTTTGTCTTGTCAGCCTCGGGCTTCATAGGAGCAGGTCGAGGACGTCTGACGCCGCCATCCTTGAAGTCATTATTGGAGCACTCCGCCAAGATGCACTCGCGGGAAACAGTCAACAGAGTGTACACTATGAAGCGCCCTGTTGGTCCACTGTGTTTGTAGAGATCGTGTGGTTTATCATCCCTTCTCTTCTCGTCCTTCCATCGAGAAGGGCCCGCGTCCTGGTGTCGTGGGGCGTTAGCTTGTCCGTGATTCCTCGAGTCGCTGGCTCTGTTGGCTGCATCCTTCTCCTCGTAGTCCATGTTGGCTCTGGCTTTTTCGAGGAGAGCGTCGAAAGATCAGGGTGGCTCAATGTTGACGGCCTTTCTGAACTTAGTGCCCGATAGGAGTCCTCTCTCGAGCAGGTACCTTTTCATGTGATCAGTGCACGAGACTTGAATGGCCTCAAGGTTGAACCGCTCGATGTATTCCCTGAGGGTCTCATCGCTTCTCTGCATGGTAGCTTCAAGGGCGACCTCAGTCTTCGAATGTCGACGAGACACGGTGAAGGAGCTGATGAACTGGTTCTTAAGGTTTCTCCAGGAGGTGATCGACCCTAGGGCGAGGTCCTTGTACCAATCCATAGTAGTTTTTCTCAAGGTCATGGGGAACAACTGACACTTGATTGACCCCCCGACGTTATGGTAATGGAGCATTGCCTCGAACCCGTTGATATGGTCGACCAGATCCACAATGTCATGGTATTCCTTCGGTTGGGGAGTTTCTTCATTCCCCTAGGAATGGGTGCCTCCACGATTGCTTGGGATAAGGGATCGCGTGGGTCGTCTTTGTCGCTTCTATATGGAGAGCGTGAGGGGGACCTATTGTAATGGTTGTGGTGACGGCCTTGGCCGCAGGGAGGATCCCTTGGCCAAGGTTGTGTTTCCCCGTTTCCCCTGTTTCTGTTTCCAGGGGATCGTTGTTCCCTGTGCGCATGGGTGTTGTTGCGTCTCCCGGTGGTTTCGGGCAGCGCTCTCTCCAACGCGGGGCCTCGTCCAGTTCGTCGGGGGGAAAGGCTTTGTGATTTGTCTCGTCTGTGTCTCTGTGGGGGAGACTGAGGACGGTCTTCATTCTGGCGGGGAGGAGGAGTGTTAGGTCTCCTATGTCTTCTAGGGGCCCGACGAGTCTGTTCGAGCACTCTTAGTCGCTCACCCTGCGAGAAAATCAAGTAGTTTATTTGGTTGATGGCCACGAACAGAGCCCTGGTCGTGGCATCA